TTTGTTGAATGATCCAAATGGATCGTTTGTAGATATAAAAGTAGGTGTGGGTGACAAAGAAAATGATTGTGACAATGTATCGGATGATGAAGATGATAACTTAAACAATGATTACGATATTTTTAATTAGATTTATATTTCATTTGTTTTATTAGTAAGAAATTATGTTATTTTGGTCTTTTTATTAATTTATTAATTTTGGTTTTTCTACCTTCACTAAATGTTTGTTGTATATTTTGATTGTTTTATATCCATAACAAATGATGTACTTTAATTTATTTACCCATGAATGGACTCTAACAATATATTTATTATATTTTTTTTGTTTAACTTTAGATCATACAACGAATGACTCGTGGTAATCATGGTTTGTGTCGTCCCCTTATAATCACTATCGGATCACATTCCGATAATCGTGGACGAGCATCACCATCGGAGGGTAGTCCGTTAGGATCTCCTACCAAGTATCGGTCGTGGGTCTCCAACGACGGGACTTTTCGTGAATCCAACGTACTGTTGTAGCCATGGAGCTAGCACATCCGCATCGAAAAGTGTTCTTATATCGACACTCGAGATTCTATTATCGACCTTCGAGAGTGGCCTTTCCGCATACATGTATGATATTCTAGAGAGTTCTCACAAGTGCATCTAGTTGGCAACGTATTGTTTCTATTCAATACGGATCGATGTATCTATTTTTTTTTAATATGTAATTTCAGTAATTACTACGTTTAAAATACTTCTTTCACCATTTTTTTGTTTGTTTGATAGATTGACTTCGGATAATAGAGATTATTCTATGAAGATCTATGATATTTTTAAGGAACAAGTGGACAAGAAAGGATCATCCCGAAGGATGTCCCCGACATGACTAAAGACTTCTACTTTAGTGAATTTAAGGTACCGTATTTATAATTTTTTTTATAATTAAAATAAAAATTTTCTTATCAAAAAATTATATAAATTTTTTTGCTTGTGAAAATTTTTTTCGAGTGGGATATGGACATCGATGTGCTTGTTAGAAGCAAGCATGAGAGCGTTTCGCTAGGAAACGCTATGCTAACTTCGTATATAAGATTAGTTTAATGGACAAGCCACCTCCATAAATGAGTCGGGAGGTATAGGATGCATGACAAATTGATTTCAAGAAACTTGATCTCATGGCTCCTCTAAAGCAAGCATCATGGAATCAATTATCGAAGATCGATGGTCCTGGTTTGGGTCCTTTCGTACATATAAGGGGCTCAATATCTTCACGAGGGCATGCACATCACTTGGTAAATTACACTCTTTATTATTATTTACTTATTTCAATACATTTTAAATTAGGACTTGTCATATTCTCTCGTAATGAATTTTTTTAGGCAATAGAATTGGGACGTCGCCTAACGAGTTTTGAGTTGTTCCAAAGGACTCATAAGAAACACGATGGTTCATTCATCGATATACGCTCCCAACGTACAATGGTTAATATTTTCAATTTCAAATATTAAATATAAAAAATTATTCTAAAATTTATTTTAATTCCGTAACGATAATATTATTATTTTTATTACGCAAGACCATATGAAGTAGCTCATGAATGAGGAAGTTGAGGCTCGCAGGGAGGCAGGAATCTTGGAGCCGTAGTAGACCATAATGCCATATACCCGTAGGCCGTCGAGGAGAATAAGAAAAGATTTTATGATATAGACATATAGTCGGTGCATTATGTGTCTCAATCGAGTAAAGACAGACTCATCCTCTCGTGACGTTGCAATACATGATCGATCCGGCTAGCGAAAAGCTTCGGAGGGACTAGGAGGCTATGAAGGAAGAGATAATTGAGTTTGAAAGCCGGATCTCGCAGCAAAATCAGATTATTTTAGTATGAAATCTCAATACGATTTGATGGCATCCTTACTAATGCAACTCGGCATGAACATCTAGGTTGTCTATAGATCCGTTGATCATTCAGCAATCTATTAGTCCTTCCATTAAGCCTCCAATTCAGCCTTCAATCGATCCTCCAGCCGAGCCCTTCACACAGTATGAGAATGAGGATATGCGATTAGATGAGTAAGATGAGTGATATAATATTCGATCACTTTGTTTGTTTTGTTGTTTTTTATGGAACGTATTCTAGAATGATTTTATTAATATTATTTTATTTTTCATATATACATGATTACTTATTATTTTTTATTATTAAATTTTATATTAATAATTTAATTTTGAAAAATGTCAACAAAAGCGAAGAAATTACGAAAAAATCATTTTTGAAATTAGGGACTGAATAGCAACGAATGGGTAACAATTTCGTTTTTCGAAATAACGATGGCATAGCGATGGATTTCTTTTAAAAATTAGAGATGGAATAGCAATGGATTTATTTTCAAAATTAGTGATGGATTTATTTTTAAAATTAGCAACGGATTAGCTACGAATAAAATGATCGATCCGGCGACAAGATTAGCGACGGATTTTTTTGGTTTGGTTTAGTAATGGATTTTTCAACGCTAAATTTAGTAATGGACTAAGTATTTCCTCATAAAAAAATTAGCAACCAACAAAATAGCGATGGAATATGGTCCGTCGCTATTCCATCACTATTTGCGAATAGCGACGAAATCGAGCGTTTAGCAATGGAATATTCCATCGCTAAACTCAATTTTTTTTTGTAGTGGCAATTGTAACCGACTAATACACATTGCCAATTATCAATTTACTTAACAACTAGCCATTGTTAGCTAACCCGATCACCGAACACATATTTATTATCCTAATATACTTACTAAACTCGTCATGACCCGGACTAGCTAGCCGCGAACGGCACGTAACCTAAAGTAAGGTGGCCCATCATAGGCTATGTAAGCCTTAGTCTTCTCTATTGTTTTCCAAAACTTTGATAGCATTTCCTTTATAATCGAAGGGTACAAAAAATAACATAACTTGCATAAAAATCCACAAATACACATACACTTTCAAATCCATTTTCATCAATTCTCATACATCTTCAAGTTCATCCATCGGACACCTATATTTTTTCATAAATCTCATCATTTTCTAAATTAACTAATAGCCATATAACCTAAGATTAAACATAACCAAATCTATAATTCACCATTTAACCAATTAAAATACAACATATATGGAGGACTTTAATTAACTAGCCTAGGATTTGATGATGTTGCCAGTAAAACAACTAAGTGAAATAAAATTTACCATAACCGGTTACAATGCCAAAATGGACTATGAGCACAAAATTAAAATTATCATGTCCTAACTCAAAGGAAGCAAAAATATCCTAGTACGTCCAAATCTGAAAAATCTATCGTCCTCCTACTAATATCTAGCTCTTGTGTTAACTACAAAACACTAGAGGTTAGGAGGTGAGTTTTCAACACTCAATAAGCATAACATATATTATAAATTGCTATACATACAATTATGCTATGTCTATTAATAGCCACTTTCACTAGGATGAATCAATTTCTTATACTTCTTATTTTCATGCAAGAGGTTAACTATTTATATAACTCCGTCAATTATGCCAATGCACATATAATACATAATTTGCAACCAATCAACCCATTAACAACTTCTTTATTTTATTAAAAATTAATATTAGCATTTCAACTTGAAATCATGCTATGCAGAACAAACTATGGTTTCTTGATGGGGTAACTATGGCCTAGGAGGGGTAACTATAGCCTGCAAGTGGGTAAACTATATCCCATAAAGGGTAACTATGGCCTGCAAAGGGTAAACTATATCCCATAAAGGGTAACTATGGCCTCGCAAAGGGGTAAACTATGGCCTACAAAAGGTAAACTCGAGGGAACCACAATGGGCATTCCTTAGTCAGCAATACTTGATACACCTAAGCTAACTATAATCATGTTAGCTTTAGTTAGTTTTACATAGAATTTTCTTCAATTCATCAATATCATTATGCTTTTTTAGTACTTTATCAATCATATACTTTCACTTAATGCAAGCTCTCATTATACTAACATGCATATACATTATTTCAATATACCAACACCTCTTCTAACATCTATAATTTATATTGCAACATACAAATTTATTTCATTTAGCTTACGAAAAAAATACCTCTACTAAGAAAATTCAACTTACATGCAATTATCTATAACAATTAAGCATATTATGTATACATCTATTTTTTTCCTCATAAGCAATATACATGATACTAAGATCTATAATATGTGATATACTTATCTTTAATCTAGATGAGGACCCCAAAATTCAAGTGTCTCCTCCTTAGGCGACTCCCTCCACCAAATCCTCTATCACGTCTATCATAAATTATATTTACAATAAATAAAAATAATTAGAATCTATCAAATTAAAAATTTAAGCTTAATTAAACCCTTAATTATGATTCACTAATTTTTTTAAAAAAATTTCTAAACTTACATAAACTTTAATTTTAATCAAATCTTAATCCCTAATTCTAACTCCTAATTCAATATGTAATTTACTAAATTACATGTAACCCATCTCTAATTAATGTTATTATTAGCCAAAAATCCCCAAAAAACAAAAAGCTTAATGAATCTCTTCTTCTATTCTCTCTTTCTTTCTTCTCTCATCTTCCTCCTCTTCTTATTTTTATTCTCACCTAAATAGCTATCGTTGTTGTCGTCGGAGCTATTGCTAGAGTTAGTGGTTACCAGCAAGTCCTTTCTTTCTTCTTCCTTACTCTTTTTTCTTTTCCACTCTTTCCATTTTTCCTTTTTGTTTTGTTAATGGTTTCTATTTTAAACCCACTCGTCGTTCTTCTCCTCTTTTGTTTTTAATTTTTTTAACTTATAAAATTACCCTTTCCCTTTTTATCCAAAAGCATGTTGATGTTGAATAGTTAGTTTGACTTTCTCTCCTCTTTTCATGGTCATAGTTGCTTTTACCAATGTTGGATATAAATGACCATCTTTTACACAAAATTCAATGCCTTCTCCTAGAGTCTTTACAATAATAGTAACATCGGCAAATGCCATCTAATACTTCACAAAGACTTCACATAAGTCATCGTGAGGCTCATTCTTCTCTTCTTTCCTCATAATTTTCTTTATAATTCCACCATCTTTGCTCACATCTACTATCGTAATCCATGAAACAAGCTCAACCTTAAATTGAACGAAGAATTTGTTTGCACAAGCATCACGCCCTACCATTCTAAAGCCCAACTCAAGAGTCAATGTGAAGAATGCACACTCCCTCTTTTTCATAGTAATAATCCCCCGATCCAATCCATTCAACACCTCCCCTTGACCAAGTCTTACAATCACATATGAATCCATATCTCTTATGGAATGAAACTTAATACCATCAAGTAATGTGATCATATAGTGAACAAACGTTTTAAATAGGGCCAATCTTTGAGCTTTAGTATTCGAGGCCACTTGTTATCATAAAACCTTTCCTCCATGTATCCTAAGAAGAAATGATGGGCATTAACATCTATCTCACATAAATCTAGACCCTTAATTATCTTTACATCCAAAATTTTATCATGATTTTTATTTTTTATTTGGCAAGTGACTCACCACAATGCCCATTGATTTCTAACTAAACCCAAATGTAGTTTCAAGCACATTGCTAACAATCGAGCTTAACTCTTTTCTAATGGTACTAAAAATGCTTCAAGTCATCCTTTTTGATCTATTTGTCTTGTCGACAAAACAAATAGTTATCATTAGAACCTTCTCGAAAGGCCCCTTTTAATAACTTATTACTATTACCAATATCAAGATCACTAATGGAATTAAAACCGTAAGAATAATAATTCCTTCCATCTTCATATGCTTCCTATCCATACTTTTGCCCAATTAAATCCTCGCATCCAGTCTTTTTCAAGAAATCAACTGATGATTCATCTTTTATTTTCCCTTCTTCACCATGCCAATATTCGGGTCCTCTATTAATGTATTCCATAACCACATCTAGTCCACCACCTTACAGGTGTCCAACACGAATCTCCCAACAACAAACTAGACAAAGATCAAAAAACACCTTGAACAAATTAATTATGTGATAATAAAAAATAGAAGTTCTGTAATTAGCACGTAACATACATTCATTTGTAGGGCATCGGATATTTCCTACTTGGAAGTCTACAAGTGGTCCACCTTTTATCCTAAACTCAATCTTTCTACTAGCTAATACCTCATTCTTCTTTCTAATCCTCCTATGTTTCTCCCATAGCATTATCTCACCTATTGTAACTTCGATCTCAATGTAGATCACCTTTTTATCAGCTTCTACTCAACCTATTCTTTAATGGACCTCCATTCTATTCCAGCTCAATATCATTCTCTTACTCTTCCTTACTTTCCATCTCCTTATTCCTCAATTTAGTCTTCTTCTTCCCGCCCTTCTTTTCAGCAACCCCTTCACCTTTTTTTTTTTTTTTGCCTCACCTTCTCCGTTACACTTAATAAATTTCACCTTTTCTTTTCCTTTAACAACCACTTCGCTTTTTTCACCTAATTCATCTTTATTCCCAATAAAAATTTATAAATCTACCCTAGAAGCATTGTAACCAAACTTCATTAATTCAAGTGAAAGAATTGACTCATTATGATACCTTGGTTTTATTGGTTTGTTTACATTATTCACTCTTGGAGAAGAATTTAAAAAGGATCATGTTCCTTTTCTCTTCCTTTCTGCACTAAGGTTGACTTGATTATCGGTTTAAAGCTTCAAATTGAAGCTCGTGTTTATTGTATTTGTTCATCCATTCTCTACAAGAAAATAAACGAGTTAGCGATAAAACTTAGTGATAGATTGTATTTCGTCACTAATTAACTACCGAATAGTGATCAAATGGTGACAAAATTAAAAATGCAATAATTTATGATCGACTAGTGATGGATTTATGATAGAAAATTAGCAAATATATATATATATATATATATATATATATATATATATATATATATATATATATATTATCACTATGCTAATGTCAATGATAGAATTGTAATAGATTAACGAGGGAATTTAATGATGGAATACCATTTTCATCATTAAAAACCATCATTTGATTAGCGATGGATTATATCTATCGCTACATTATTTATTTCATAGCTAATTAGCAACGGAATGTGTTTCGTCACTTCTCAAATTTTTGAAAAGTTGAAAAAATTAAGCACTTATTTAAAATTCAAATTAACAATAGACACTTATCTTCATCACTATTTAGTGATGGATTAGGGATGAAATCGCATCCATCGCTAATCCTAAATCTCTAAAACCTCTAACCTCTTTTTTTCCCTTAAAATTTCCCCCTTCTTTCTTCTCCTCACTCCTCTCCCGTCGTTGTCCCCGCATCCCAAACCACTATCTCACACCACCCCACTCCCTCCCTAGCCCACTCATTCCAATAAGGCATCCCTCTCTCCCTAAAAACCACTTTGAAACTACCGTGACAGTCTCTCCTCTCTCGTCCTCTCCTTTGGTTGGTTCTCTCTTTTATTTTTTTTGTTAATCAAATTAACTTTTCTAATTAAAAGATTTTTTTAAGGTTAATTTTATTAGTTGTTAGGTTAATTTTATTGATTGTAAGTTTAATTTTGTTAATTGTTAGTGTTAGGTTAAATTTTATACAATTGTTAGGGTAATTTAGATAAATTATTTGACTAATTATTAAGTTAATTTTGATTAATTGTTAGGTTAAAATTTTGTTAGTTAATTATTAATTTATTATTTTTGTTAGTTATTAGGTTAATTTTGTTACTTTGTTAGTTGTTATTTTAAAATTTAATTAATTTTTGAATTATGATTAATATAAATAGTTAGGATTAATTTAATTAAGTTAATTTGATTTAGGGTTAAATTAATTAGGGTTATTTTTGTTATTGGTTGATTTTTAATATTAATTATAGTCTAATTAGTTAATTAATTGATATTTAAAATTTAGGCTTACCCCATAATTGGTTCCTATACAATTTTAATTTTTTTTAATTGAAAACCTCTATTATTTTTTAGCTTGTTGAAACCTTTTACTTTAACAAATTTTTTTATTAAGACTTTGCGTTATAACATCATTAACTATTTATCCTCCGTGCTAAGTTAAAACTAATGGTTGCCAATCGGGCAACGACATATGACAATGTTGGCCTTAATCATTTTAGTATAAATCAAAACAAATTAGACAACGACATGTTGGAGAAACAAAGTTCATTGAATCCAGACTTTAATCTAAAACTCAATGCTAAAGATTTTGAAGAGAGGGGATGAAACCATGAATGAGTTTTGTCATAATTTATGTGGATAATGAAAGGGAAGTTATCTAAAGTGTATAAGGATTGTGATAAATAGATGCTTGATGGTATGCTTCTCATTATTATTGGAAAAGTTGTTTTAGAGATGTGAAAATGATAGTCTTGAACGCATGCTTAGTGTTGTAGTGGCCATAACATCACAATACTTTAGTGAGGATTTGTGGAAGACAGTATGGGAAGTGAGGAATACGATGTTGGAGGATATGAAAAAGGAAAGAAATAAGGAGAAAATGAAGGGTTTCTTACAATATGAGGAAGTGTGTAGGTTTGTCTGGTGAGATTGGAATCCAAGGGGATTTGTTGAGGGGTATAGGTTCAAATGGGCTCATGAGAAAATGAAAGAGAGTGACTTTTATGAGGGTTTGAATCATTTTAAAGAAGAAGATAGAGCCCAAGAGAAAGTAGAAAAGGAGGGTAATAATGCAATGACCATGGGTGAACAGTGTCGTGACCACGAGTAAGGAGAAACCAAAGGTTTTTACGCTTCCTATGAGACATGGTAAGATAAATAGAAGATTTATAAACTTGATCTTTTTTATCCTAAGTGGGCTGAAGTTGTTGATAAAATCTATGAGGCGTAAGAGCTTGATTGGCCTAAGGAACCAAAACCTATATAAAGGAAATACCGACTAGTTAATGAGAAAATTGTTGCATTGAAAAAGAGGATGACCCTTCTCCACTAATAGCTTGATAGGCGAGCTTCAACAACATAGCAAGATTGATTGGTTAGCTTTGCTAGATAAGTTGAAAAAGTAGAATCCGCATTTATACCTTAAGGTACACTTCTCATTCATTTTCTTTCCGTTACATTTGTCCGTTACATAACCGGTTCATTTTGCTTTATTGTGTGTGATTAACGATCGGTTATTGAATTATTTTTTCTATGTATAACATGGTCTAGATTTGAAATGTAAAGAATAAATGCATTACATAATTTACTTAATGTGTTATCTTGAGGTGGTTGCTTATTGAGTAATTAGTATTGCAAGTAGTTGGAGTTTTGTTGAGCAAAATTTTTTTATATTTTGGTTTTAATTTATACTTAAGTGATTAGAGCCCATATTTATCATGTGTCATTATCCGATTAGCTACCATTAGTTTTAACTTATCATGTAGGATGAATAGTAATATCGTTATAACGGAGGGTCTCAATCAATAAATTTGTAAGAGTATAGGGATTTACTCAAGAAAAACATTAATAGAGGGTCTCAATCAAAAAAATTAAAACCGTACATAGACCGATTATAGGATAAATCCCTTAAGATTTAATTGGGTTTGAATTGTGATTGATTTAAATATGGTTAATTTTATTAGGTTTAGTTGAATTTATTATTAAATTAATTAGGTTAATTTTCATTCATTTTCAATTAGGTTTAATATAAATTAGTTATGAGTTGATTAATTAGGTCAATTTAATTAGGATGAATTTTTGAAGTTATATTGAACTTAAATTAGGGTTAATTAGGTTAAATTTATGGTTAATTTAAAATAGTTCTTAGTTGATTACTTAAGTTAAATTTATTATGGTGAATTGTATTATGTTAATTTAAATTAAATATTTGGTAAATTAGAGTTAATTTAAATTGGTTTTTAGTTGATTAATTATGTTTATTTAAATTAGGTTTAAATTAATTATTTTAATTTGAATTTATTAATTTAATTAATAAATTTGAATGAGTGCTAATTGTGTTAGTTTAATTTTAATTAGGTTAATTTGATTAATTATGTGGTAAATGAATCAGTATGTTAATATTGATTAATTAGTGTTAATTTGAATTAGTATCAAACGAATTTAGGTAAAATATCAAATTATATTAAAGATAATAAAAAAAATATTAAAAATATTTTTACAAAAATATTTAACTTTATGCGATTTATTTTCTTGCATTTATGTACATATTTAATTTTTAGTTCGTATTCGTTATTTACTTTGAATTGTTACACATATCTTTAAACCCAAGCTAAAATCCCATTATATTTAGATAGAGAGATCCGAAGACAAGCATGAAGAAAGTCTATTGATGCTTTTTTGGACTCTCATTTGACCGAAATGCACCCCATGAATAGGAAATAATGGAGTAACCTTTTCTTACCCCTTGTGCATAAGGTTAGAGGCTAAATTACCATACGAGTAATTTGGGTAGTTTAGAAACTTGAAACGACTTCGGGACTAGACAAGTTTTACCTAGACCCAAAAGCTAAAAAATAAATTTATTTCAAATTTGCTTTCGATTGGAGTTATATACTTTAATTAATTAATTAACTTATGATTGTTGAGATACATTATAGTGTATCGAACTCGAGGGTCGGAGACCCATAGGAATTGAGGAGAAATAAGGTTGGTTAAATACTTTGCAATAGAGTTGGAAGAATGAGTTTAAAATTTAATTTTAATGAATTATCCAAGGCAAGTGCTTGGTCTTAGTATTTGCAAATTGATAGTTGGTTGATATTTATGTGATATTGATTAATTGAAAATTTAATATTATGTTATGTATTTGATTTTGAAAATTTGGAAACATCTAGTTTATAAGGGAAGCTATGCCGAAAATTTCTTAAATTTCATAAGAATGTTGATCAAAAATTATTTGCATGTGTTGTGTAATTTTCACGGTAATTAAAAAAAATAAGATCCGATCTATAATGGATAAATGTTAGGTTGGTTGACGGGTTGTTAAATGATGAGTTTATTAAAAGGGTTGAATAATTTGTTGCTTTTGCTATTAAGCATCCCGAATGTATGGACAAAATCAACATTAGGTGTCCTTGTAATTACGGTAAGTATCGAAACAAAAACTTTGAAGAGTTTAAAACAAGTAAAATATCGTTTGTGCCATAAGGGTTTTGTGTCGAGATATTATGATTGGATATATCATGGAGAATTTGAGTCATACATGGCATTTATTGATTCTATGAGTCATTATGTTTCTAGAAATTATCATGTGATGGATGCAGTCGATCCATCCTTCAATTTGTCTAGCACGGAGGAGGTGCCAAATCTCAACGCTCGACACTTTTATGATATGTTGAATACATCTCACAAAGAGATTTAGCCTGGTTGTGATGAGCACTTGTAGTTGTCAACGATTGCCCAAATGCTTAACCTTAAATCCAAATATCATTTTTTTTAAAAAGTGTTTTAACTAGTTATGCAAACTCGATTAAGGAGTTGATGCTTGTTGATAACTCGTATGATAGATAATTTTTACAAAACAAAGAAGATTGTTAAATGGATGAGTTTATTAGTACAAAAGATTTATTATTATGAGAAAGGTTATATGATCTATTGGAAGAAAGACGATGAATTAGAAAAATACAAGTTCCGTAAACATCCTCGATATTAAAATCCCCATCGAAGATCGACAAGAGCAAAACTTATTCTAATTAAAAAAATATACTACTTTTTTCTAACCTCGTGGCTATAGTGATTGTATGCATTGAATACCGTAGTTGAGCATATGATATGGCATGTCAAGTATGAGGTAGATGATACAGGAATAATACGCCATTCCTCCAACTCTATTACATGGCAATGTTTTGATCGGATTAATTTTCTTTTTACAACTAAAAGAAGGAAGGTTAGATTACGAATTTGCACCGATGGAGTTCAATCATTTGGTCAATCTAGTGTATAATATTCTTCATGGTCGATAATTATGACTTCTTATAATTCGCCACTCGTGGATGTGTATGAAGGAGGAATATATGTTTCTAACATTAATTGTTCCGGGTCTAATAAATCGAAACATAAGTTGAATATTTACTCGTAGCTTTTGATTTTTGTGCTGATTCATTTATGGAAAGTGGATGTGTTGACATACAATGTCTATCATAAGTAGAATTTTATCTTAAGAGGCATAGTTATGTGGACTATTAGTAACTTTCCCGCATATTCGATGCTCGTCCGGTTGGAGTACCGTAGGGAAATAAGCTTGTCCTAACTATATGAAAAATTCATATGCTTTCTCCCTTCCTAATGAAAGGAAGAACTTATGGTTTGATAATCACCAAAAGTATCTTCCTCATGATCATCTATATAGAAGAAACAAGAAAGCATTCACCATAAAAAAAAAAAAAAGGTTATGAGATGTGGCCCTCCTCCAATCTGATATAAGACCGAGATGTTACATCCGGTGGAATAGTAGAGGTTATTGAAGGTGACAAAAAATGATATAGATGATCGAACAATAGAACCTCTTAGATTTGTGGATAGAAGAAATAGAGAATTTTTTGGGATCTCTCTTAATGAAGGTCAAATCTCATTCGACACAATTTAGATGTTATGTATATTGAGAAAAATATATTCAATAATATTTTTAACACAATCATGAATATGTCAGCTTAAGTTTAAGGACAATGCTAACTTTAGAAAAGACTTAAAACTTTTCTATAAAAGGCTAGAATGAACAAGGGATGATGCATCTAGGAAGTACCCTAAAGTTGCTTTTATCCTTTCCAAATAACAAAAGACAAAATTGCTTAAAAGGATCAAACAACTTAGGTTTCTCGATAGATATTTGTCCAGCCTAGCTAGATGTGTTGACGTGTGAAATGACAAACTTTATGGGATAAGAATTTATCACTATCATGTCTTTATGCAAAGGTTAGTAATTTCATTTTGAGAGCTTTTATCGAGAAATGTTTGGCAAGTACTTACCGAGTTTAGTTTGTTCTTTAAGCAATTGACTTCTATAGTAATAAAGGAAGAAGATATTATGCGACTTCATGATGAAATACCCATTATTTTCCACAAACTAGGGCCTATATTGCCTTTTAAATTTTTTTGACACCAAGGAATATCTTCCAATCCATTTACCATATGAGGCATTTATTACGAAACCTATACAATATCGGTGAATGTGTCCATTTGAAAGGTATTGATATTGAATTTTTAATGTAAAATTAATTGAAATTCTAACTATCGAACATTAAATTAATTTATATTATAGGTACCTTTGAAAGCTAAAAAATAATGTCAAGAATAAGGCTAAAGTGGAAAGATCAATATGCAATGCATATTTGGTCGAAGAAACCTCTTTGCTTTATTAGTACTATTTCAAGCCTCATGTGTATACTAGGCATCGAAAAATGTCACGTAACGTTGAGTGTGATAGAGAAGAGAGTGATCATATTAAAGGGATGCTATTTGTATTCAACCAACAAGGTCAACCAATTGGTTAACACACAAGAAGGAAATTGTTAGAAGTCGAACACAAAATAGCCTATCAATAGATATTTTTGAACTATAAAGAAGTAAAACCTTACATTGAGTAAGTTTGTCAAAATTTCATTTCTAAATCATAAATCTTTAATTATATATCATAATATTAGTAATTATAAGACACACTAACTCTCATCTATTGTTACTCCTTATTGTGGATTCCTTATCAAAATACAACTAAATAATCCCTTCATGCTCGAGAATGAGGTCGATGCTCTACTTAAAATGAGTTTGCCTTCCGGTTTAGTCTATATGTGATTATTCTTATTTTACTCGGTATTTTATTAATGAGTAGCATTAGTTAAAAGGTAACTCGACATTTAAAAGATTTGATATCGAATTTACAAATAGAAAATGTATAAGCAATTTTCATGACATACTAATTTTTAAAAGATCTTGCACAAGGCCCATT